CACGCACACGCACACGCACACGCACACCCACACCCACACCCACACCCACACCCACACCCACACCCACACCCACACCCACACCCACACCCACACCCACACCCACACCCACACCCACACCCACACACACACACACACACACACACACACACACACACACACACCCACACACACACACACACACACACACCCGCGTGCAATGTTTCATGCATATCCAAAAGCAATGTTCTTGCGAGTTGGTTTGCGCGTGCCTTGCTCCAGCCTCATGTGGGCTATAGTCTAAACTCCTTAAAGGGGGGTTATATAGGGGATTATATAGGGGACTATAATAGGGGTTATTAAGGGGGATACTAGGAGTTTAGACTATAGCTCATGTGGGCTATCCACTACGCTAAACCCTAAAACCCTAAACCCCTAACAACGAGAACCCTAAACCCTAAACCCTAAACCCTAAACCTTAAGTTTGGGCACCCTTGAGACCTGGCAACATGAGGGGGATGGTATGACCTTAACCCTAAACCCTAGAACCCTAAACCCTAAACCCTAGAATTTCCAGGAACCTAAAACCCAATGACCCGGGGTTAGGCCATGGAGGGGCAGCTCCAGGAATCATGAGCTGTACCATCAAAGCCTGACACTTATACCCTGCTGTCACATGCTCATGACCTAAGGAAATATATATATATATATGTATATATATATATCATATGATGTATGTATATATATATATAGGGTTTAGGGTTTAGAAATTAGGGTTTCAGGGTGTAGGTCTCAGTGACATGCGACAAGTAAATCCTACAGCACACGTAATGAAGCGGGCTTAGGGCTTAGGAAACCTATGTCATGACATGCAAGTCTTGCAACGCTCCCCCCCCATGACTCTACGAACTTCCCCCCCCCTCTTCGCCTTCACCTGATGGCATGCATTGCGTTTTGCCCGCATCTCCTGGCTGGTTTTACTTCTAGGAGCACTTGCTGTGCTGAAAGGCATCCTTGGGAGAGATGTGCACAGTGCCATTGGAGCAGTCCTCTCCGTACTGTCTCCGGGCAACAAGCACACCAATCTCCTCCTCTAATATCAAAACACCCCACACTCCCCCACCCCCCCCTAATATTCAATTTTAGGTGTTGAGGGTTTATAGAGTTTAGGGTTTAGGGGTTTAGCTTTTTTATGTTTTGGCATGGTCCCAAGATGCCACTTGCATTCAATCCTTGAGGAGTACAAGCAATCAACAGAAAAGGACTGCTGGGGAATAGGACATGGGCAAGTAGTGGTGGGGTGGGGTAGCTCTAGTTGCCACACGCTGTCTGAAGATGCCCGGTGCTTGCTGGGCTGGCTGGCACTAAGCCTGTTTAGAAAATAAAACACGCCGTCGCTCGCTCTTCCCAAGACAGTTTTTTTGCTTGGCGCGTATTTTTTTTCGGGTTTTGACGCTGTCGTTTTGTTTAAATCTTATCGCTTTCCAAGCAAGATGCTCGCCCTGCAACTGGCACGTGTCAATCGGAAGTAACATGCAGGGGGCAATTATGCAACCCCTGATGTAGTACGACACCAATTCCATGTTATAGAATTTGTCTGGGAAGATTAGCCTGCGCAGTAGTACCCTTTTTTGTGGCGGAACCATGCAACAATCATGTAAAACCTGAAGGGAACTGCATGTGATGGTTTGCCACAAATCCCAACCTGTCTCACAAACCCTAGATGATAAAGTCCCAAACCTTTAGCTAACCCTAACCCCCTGGTAAACTCTAAACCCTAAACTCTAATCCCAAAACCCCCAAACCCCCCAAACTCCAAAACCCGAAACCCCTAAACTCTAAACCCCAAAAACCACCCAAAACCCCGAAACCCCTAAACTCTAAAGCCTGGCCTGCCGCAATGAAGATCACATAGCGGCCAGAACCTGCGAGGTGGACACCCCTGAGTCTCAACACAACCCCCCTTCCCCCGTCGGGCTTTAGGGTTTAGGGTTTAGGCTTTAGGGTTCAGTGTTGAAGGCATAGGGTGCAGGGCGTAGGGCATGGGGTTTAGGGCATAGGGTTTGGGGCTTAGTGTTTAAGGGTTTCGGGCTTAGGGTTTAGGGCTTAGGAGGATTTAAGGCGAATAATGATAATAAAGGGATTTTGGTAACCCCAACCCCCAAAATTAGGACCCTATGACTATCATATGCTGGTTATGGGGTCGTAATTTTGGGGGTTGGGGTTACCAAAATCCTATTATTAAATGACACCCCTCCCTCCGACAGAGTACCGTTATATATTACGGCGGGTTGGTATTTGAAGGTTTAAAGGGCGTGGGAAGAGCCCAATGCATGGGTAGCCATTTAGTTCTTACCTTTTTTGGATACAGTTGCTGGTTCGAGTCTTGAAATAAACTATGGCTGAATCCAGGGGCTTCTGCATCAATACCTGCAAGTACCTGTAACTCCAGTTACCTAGCGCTTATGAACAGTTACCCCCTAACTAGGAGGTAGAACCCGTAAAGACTGAACCCTAAGTAGTAGTTTCCATTATCTTTTCCATCATCCCTATATAACCCCTATAAACCCCCTATAAACCCATAAAACTGCAGGTATTATTTTTTCCATCATCCCTATATAACCCCTATAAACCCCCCTATAACCCATAAAACTGCAGGTATTTGAGGGATTACAGGCATTGCTTCAGGCTGGTACTTGGACTCTGGGGTTGAAGACACGGCCTGGAAGGTTTAGGGTTCAGGGTTTAGGGTTCAGGGTTTAGGATATAGGGTTCAGGGGTTAGGGTTT